TAGATTAGAATCACCTGCTTTGGGGTTAGCAGTGCAAGCCCTTAACAGTAGGCCCCCATAGATCATTTCTTAACTATATAGCACACTTAAAGAATTAAAAAATCAGGTTCTTTACTTGCCTTGGATTTATGTAAGTACTTAGTTACTCAGTGAACCAGTTAACACAGAACTGCTTTAAGAGACTTAGTGCTCTGTGTTATTTGTACCATCCCTGAACACTTGATTGTGCTTATGCAAAACCTAAACTTGTACCAGAAAGCAGTCCTCAGAACAAGAGCAAGGAAACACGGCACAGTTCAAAATCAGGAAAGGAGTGTGTCAAGGATGCATCCTGTCTCCATACTTTTTCAATCTATATGCGGAACAGATTATCTGGGAGGCTGGGTTCTATTGAGGAGGAATGTGGCATCAGGATTGGAGGAAGACTCATCAACAGCCTATGTTATGCAGATGATACAACCTTGCTTGCTGAAACTGAGGAGAGCTTGAAGCACTTGCTGCAGAAGGTCAAGGACTGCAGTCTTACATATGGATTGAAGCTCAACATCAAGAAAACAAAGATTCTCACCACTGGGCCAATTGGCAGCACCATGATAGATGGAGAAGAGATTGATGTTATTAACAATTACAATTTGCTTAGCTCCACAATCAACACTCTGGGCATCAGCAGTCAAGAAATCAAAAGACAAATTGTATTGGGAAAAAAATCTATTGTCAGGGACCTCTCCAGAGTACTGAAATGCAATGATGTTAGTCTAGAGACTAAGGTGCACCTATTTCAGGCCATGGTCTTTGCAATGACTTGCAATGAATCAGAGAGCTGGACAATGACTAAGCATGATAGAAGAAGAATTGATGCCTTTGAACTGTGGTGCTGGGGAAGAGTCTTTAACATAACATGGGACTGCCAAGAAAACAAATAGGTCTGTCTTGGAGAGGGTGAAACCAAGATTTTGAAGCTCTGTCTCACATACTTTAGCCATGTGGCCAGAAAGGACTGGTCCTTGGAGAAAGACATCATGCTCAGAAAGGTGGAGGGACAGCACAGGAGAGGAAGACCCCAGATGAGATAGATTGATATAGTAACTGGGGCTACAGGGCTTGAAGTGTTGGAGTTAGTGAGACTGGCTCAGGACAGGGCAGGCTTCAGAGCTGCTGGACATAGGGTCACTATGGGTTGCAAGTAACAACAGGTTCAAAATGTTGGAATGTATACCAATTTGAACCCACCATCACTCCAAGGGAGCGAGAGGAGGCAGTCTCCTCTCACTAAGATTTATAGGCTTGGAAACCTGAGGGTGGGTCACCATGAACTGGAATCAACAGCAGTTTTGGTTTTGAATATAGACGTGATGGTGGCCTAGTGGTTAAAAAGTTACACTGAAAAAAAAAGTTACACTGACAACTCAAAGGCAGTTGGTTCGAATCTACCAGCCACTCTGCAGAAGAAAGATGGACAGTCTCCTCCTGTACTGCTGGAATATCAGCTACTCCATGGCAGTGACTTTGACTTCTGACCTTGACAGTGCAGTGGTTAAGCACTCAACTGCTAAAAAGAATCCACCAGCTAGTCTGTTGGAGAAAGAAGTGGCGTTCTGCTTCTACAAAAATTACTGCCTTAGAAACCCAAGAGGCAGTTTTACTCTATCCTGGAGGGTCACTATGAGCGGGAATTGATTTTATGGAAATGGGTTTGGTTTGACAATGAAGAAAATAATTTCATATTCACAAGGGTTAAAGGGCTTTCTGAGTTACAGACATAGAGAATATATGGCTTCGTTTCTACAATTTCAGCCACCAACAAAAAGTAAACCTAGAAACATAAAACCTCCTCCATCAAAACAACTATGAGACATCATCTCACCACAGTAAGAACAGCAAAATTTAATAGAACAGCAAACATCAAATGCCGGCGAAGTTGTGGAGAGACTGGAACCCTTATTCACTGTTGGTGGGAGTGTAAAATGGTGCAACCACTATGGAAGGATGCATGGCGCTTTCTCAAAAAGTTGCAAATAGAAATACCATTTGACTCAGCAATTCCACTACTGGGAATATACCCCAAAGAAACCATAACTGCCACCCAAGCAGATATATGCTCACCCATGTTTATTGCAGCTTTGTTCACAATAACAAAGAGCTGGAAACAACCTAAGTGCCCATCAACAAACAAGTAGATAGAGAAGCTCTGGTATATTCACACAATGGAATACTATGCTGCATTGAAAAACAAGGAACTCATGAAATATTATACAAAATGGGTGACCCTAGAGGACAGATGCTGAGTGAAATATCTCAGTCACAAAAGGACAAATATTGCATAGTGCCACTGTTATAAAACGGGACTGACATCAGGGTTGAGGGAAGACTGAGAAAAAGGGGATAAATAATGTATACTGCATTGAAACAGATAAGGGAGAAAACTATTTAAAAGGGATATATGATTAGGTACTATTGTCATGACAGGAGTCCAGAATGAAGGCTGCATAATGGAGTGGACTTGGGGGGAGGGATTGTAAAACAATGAAAGAATTTTTCTTTTACTTTTCAAAGAGAAAAGTGTACTGGCGGGAGGGTGGGCAGGGAGAAAAGTGCAACAATGAATGAATGGAAATCCAAAGTCTCTGTAAACTTTCATTATAATTAATAAAAAAGAAAAAAACAAACCAAAAAAACCTTCTTCGTCCAGCTCTCAAAGAGCCATCTCTTTCTTAAACGTCATATAGCAAATATTTGAGTTTAATTAATGTTGAAAGAACATATTGTCCACTTTTTTGATCTTAGTTATGTTTCAGATACATTCTGGAGCCTAATGAACACATTTTAGGAATGTATTAACTTCTGTACTTTATTAACCCTCAAGTTCATTGCTGTGAAGTTGGAACTGATTCATAGCTGCAGATGTTTTCAGAGGCTGTAAATCACACAGGAGGAGATTGCCCATCTTCCCATAAAGCAGCTAGTGGATTTGAACTGCCTGGCTTTAGGTTGGCAGCGCAACCTCTTACTTAAAGCTTCTGTACTTTATTAGTGTCATAAAAAGATACTGGAGAATACTGGAGATCAAGGCTTTTAACCAATTCAGTCATGTTTGACCAGCCATGCTGAAGGAGACTGGAATTTTTAAATGTAGGTTAGTAGAAATGATAATCAGAATGAAAAAGAAAAAAAGAAAAAGATGGGCTATGTGGAAGAAGATTTAGAAAAGACCCAGTGAGCTCTTTAAGGAGCTGAGTTGTGCTGTTATATAAAGTTTGTGCGTCTTCCGCAATTTGAATTCACAAGTGGCTCTGTGGCATAAAGATGGGTGACCTCTTCCTGTGGTGATTGACAGCCTCTGAAACCCAATAGAGGGTCATTGGGACCCAGTGGCACCCAACAACAACAAGAGTTGGAACCCACGTTAAGGGAGTGAGTGGGCAGACCACTTCTTTCAGGAGGCTGGCTTGGAAGACTAGATTACTAGTGAAACTGCAAAGAGGTACCCACTCAAAGCAGTGTGGGTGACGACTATCTTTACACGACCAGTCTCTCCCATCATTTGGGTGAGAGATTTGGTTGCTATGCAGTGTGTGCTAAGCAAGTGATTATGTTTTTAGCAGGATTGCAACCTGTAATTATCCCTGTCCCAATTTTTGTTGCATTTCACTCAAAATAGATCTGTTCCAGTGTCACTTCCTAGACCCTTGATTGAACTAGGCTGAGCTAATTCAAAGCCCTGGAACAGATATTTTATGTTAGTGAAGGGAAAGTTTTGGGGCCAGTTTAGAGCTCAGCTGAGAGAAGCTGCCTTGGATGTGGTGGTTGAAAAACCTCAAGGGAAGGCCTGGTCAGGTTTGTCAGAAGACTCTGAAATTGGGGAGAAGGCAGTTGGAATAGTAAGAGAGAAATGCCTCCCTTTTTTGAATGTGGCCCAGAACTATCTTCAGTGGAAATAGTCACTCAACTCATCCCTTCCTTCCAGGTGGCAAAACTCAGCTTCCTGAGTAGCGAGGAGGAGCCGGAAATGATCTTCGACTGGGTGGACGTGGAGCGGAAGGGAAGCCTCTCCCTTGAAGAATTCAGCTCTGGGCTCAGTATGTCTATCTTAGGAGGGCCTCTGGGGACTTCCAAGTGCATTCACTTGGGAGCTTGTGTGTGTGTGTGTGGGGGGGCAGCAGGAAAGGCACAATAACTCCTCATGCAGGGGCCTTTACCACACCCCTAAGAGCAGGGCAGGCCATGGATAGTAATGATTAGCACTGGAGTAAGGAATTGAGCCTGGACTGGGCAGTTACAGGAAGATCTGGGCCTGGAGATTCCCGGTCCAGTTTCCACCAGCCTGGGTGCTTCATTGGCTGTCATCCCACTTCTTCCAGAGAGGACTGCTCTGAGGAAAAAATGGGGGATGTTGTTCTTGTCTTTTCCCCAACCAAGGACTTCCCTAAGGTGAAAGGCTAAATACCCCACCTCACTCTTGAGCCCTTGTTTATGCTTGAGGAAGGTGGTCCCATATTCCCCCCAAAGTTGGGTGCCTTCACTCATTACAACTCATGGTTGAGTTCCCTGGGTGTTACAAACAACTTATAATTTCCCTTCCATTTGGAAATTTGGCTGTTTAAGTCTACCCAGAATATTCTAGAAGAAAGTTCTAGTGATCTACTTCTGAAAAATCAATCATTGAAAACCCTGTGAAGTACAGTTCTGCTCTGGCACACAGGGGGTCCCCATGACGTTGGTGATTTGACTCCATGGCCACTGGGACTGGTGTTAGGTCTCCATGGCCACTGAAATGGGTTCCCAGGCGCTGAGCCCCACTGCACAGGGTCCACCACATCCACTTCTCAAGACAGGCCCAACGGGACCTAGAATAACATAGGCCAGCAGGCCTTACCCTCCTGCTGGGGGGATACCTTCCCCAGGACTGACAAGTATTAGTATGAGTAGTCTCAGTGTTGTTGCTGTGGTTAGGCACCATTAAGTTGACCACAACTCATGTTGTTGTTGTTATGTGCCGTCGAGTCGTTTGTGAATCATAGCGACCCCTATGTACAACAGCCCTAAACCGTGCTCTGTCCTGTGCCAATCACATTTCCTCTGACACACCCATCGCGATTACCCCAGTCACTGAATCAATCCACCTCACAGAGGGTCTTCCCCTCCTGCGCTGTCCCTCTACTCTACCCAGCATGATGTCCCTCTCTAAAGACCTGTCTCATAGAGACCCTAAAACAACAGCTCTCAACACTGCCCTGTGCTGTGCCATCCTCACCAACTCTGGTACGCTTGAGTGTGTTGTTACAGTCACTATGTGAATCCATGTTGTTGAGGTCTTCCTCTCTTACACTATCCCTCCGCCTTCCTCAGCATGATGTCCTTCTCTAAGGAAGGCCCCTCCTAACATCATGCCCAGAGTTTGAGAGAGAGCGTTTTGCCCTCCTTGTCTCCAAAGAGCTCTCTATTTCCACTTTTCTCTAGGAGAGACCTGTGTGTTCCCTTAGAGTTTGCAGCAGAGGTCTCACAAAGCCCAGCCTTCACATGCCCACAGACATCCTAGCCTTCAGTTCTGCTGAGTCTCCAAAAGTTTGGGGGCCAGCAGGAGAAAGAGGGCAGAAATCAACATTTACAGTTTGGGGTCACCCCAGGAAGTAGCTGCTCCAGCTCAGGTGGATGAGAAGCTGAGAGTGTGGCAGGTGAGGGAGACAGAATCTGGAATGGGGTGGGGGGCTGGTAGGGGGAAAGGAAAAGAAAATTCCTTGTTCTCCACACAGCCCCAAGGGGCCTTCTTCGCATCGGAATCCAATCATATCCACCATGCCAAGGTCTTCCCCTTGCCCACAGAACAAAATCCAAACTACTTTGCCCAGCCTGCACGGTCTGTACTGTCCGGGCCCCTTGTTGTCTCTTGCCCCCTGCCCTGTGCCAGGGCTCTGCATGTCCTGCTCTCTCTGCCCCATCTTGTTGCTCATCTCTCAGTTCCAATGTAATCCTCAGGGGTGTCTCCTGACCACCTTCTCTAACATAAGCTCCTCTCCAAGTCTCTTGATATCAATTAACTCATTTATTCTTCTAGCTCATTTAATTTTCTAGCTCACTTGACAAAGCTGCCTCTTTTTGAAAAAAGGATCCTACTTCCCAACTTTCACTAGAAGGCCTGCTCCACCAGGGCAGAAGTTGAGACCAACTTTATCCCCACCATTTGGAACTAACACTATGTACCCGGCACAGAGAAGATGCTTGTTTTAGTTCACTTTCCTTTACTGCTCTTTGCCGATACAGCATTTTTACAATCGGAAGGTTTGTGTGCACCTGCATTAAGTAAGTCTCTTGGTGCCTTTTTCCCAACGACATGTGCTCACTTCATGTGTCTGTGCCACGTTTTGGGAATTCTCACAATATTTCAAACTCTTATATGAAGAGATTGCACGTTTGTGGTGCTGTAGCTGGTGTGGTCTGTAAGGAGTCACACTGCTAACCCACTCTTTCGGTTCAAATCTACCAGCGGCAGCTTCCTTCTGTGCGATCTACAGTCTCAGAAAACTGCTAGGGGCTCAGCTTTGAGTCAATCTTGATTCTACAGCAGTGAGAGAGATGACATATGTAATGGACAAGTATTGGGTACACTTATTGTTAAGTGCAGTGGAGTCACTTGCAACTCATAGTACAATAGCTCTGAACTCTGCTTTATCTTGAGACAAACCTCACTGTTTCTGATACACTCACCCCCAACTCCCCAGTCACTAAATTAATTCATCTCTTTGAGGGTCTTCCTCTCCTACACTGTCCCTCCATCCTCCCAAGCATGATGTTCCTCTCCAAGGACTAGTTCCTCCTTGCAACACGCCCAAAGTGTGTCAGATGGAGCTTCAGAACCCTTGCCTCCAAGGAGCAGCCCGGTCTCACCCTCTTCAGGACGAACCTGTTTGTTCTCCTAGCAGTCTATGTTGCTCCATTATTATGGCCTGGAACCAACCCTTATTAAGTAAGAGGATGAAGGATCTGTTGGCCACTATAGAGCTACTGTGTGACTTCTAACAAGTTTCTTGGCCTCTCTGAGCTTCCAAATACTATCTATATAATGGGTATGGGTCCTGTTTTGAGTAGATCCCAAGGCTGATACAAAGAATGAATGTGAACAACACAGATATAATTGCTTTCTTCAAGGGCTAGGGCAGGGTGGGAGGTATGGGGTGCTTACCTCTGTCCCCCTCTGTCCCCAGAAAGCATCTTTGGCTCTGGCCCAAGCACACACAGGCTCCGCAGAAGGAGGCCAATGTCTTCCAAGCGGGGATCTGCAGCGGCCAGCTTCCCGGCACTGGACGAGGTCGACACGGAGGAGAAGGAGGCGTTCCTGGCCTTCATGGAGCAGCTGGGGAGCAACTGCTTATTTCCTGAGTAAAGCTGGGGGTGTTTGTTTGGGGGTTCGCATAGGCGTAATGCCAAGATGAGCGGTCCTTGGACAGAACAAGCTCAAATCTTGGGCTGGCTGCTTGCTGGCTGTGTGACCACAGCAAATGGCCTGGCCTCTCTGTCCCTGTTCCTTCTCTGGGTGCAGAATGAACGTGAGAGCTACTATGGGATTAAATCGAATTCCTTGGGTTTACAATTAATGCATTTGACTAGCAACCAAAATGTTGGTGGGTTGAGTGCACCAGAGGTGCCCGGAAGAAAGGCCTGGTGATCTACTTTCCAGAAATTCCATGGAGCCCAGTTCTATTCTGACACACATGGGGGTGACCATGAGTCAGACATCCAGACTGGTGGGATCAAATGAAACCAAGGTTCACAAGAAGGATCCCCTCCCTCCTGCAGGCTTCCTCTCTTGTTCTGCGCTGCAGGATCACCCCGAGCAGGAGTTGGGGTATTGGTTTCCTAAGGGGACTTCTATTCTTTTTTTCCTTTTTTTAAAATGTCATTCATTGTTGCACACTTTCCTCCTTCTCTCATTCTTCCCCCTCCCCCAGTCACTTTGCAATTCACATTTTGTTCCAGATTGTTGTCATACAGGTAATGCCTAATCACATATTCCTTTCAGACAGTTCTTCCCCTCATTTCCCTGAAAGTGCCTTTCTTAGCCCAAAGAGAGGGCTCTCTCATGGGAAGTTTCAGGCATGGTGGTGCCAACTATGGGGCAAATTTGGAGACCAGAAGGTATTTCCTCTAAATCTCTTTCCTCCAAGAAGGGACTGCTGCCTGACAATGCTCCTCCCGTCTATCTCAGACCCCAGTGGAATCCCTCAGTGTCGGTGAGGGAGTCTTTCTCACTCACCTGCCCAGGCTTGTACACTCTGCTGGGCTCTTGGGGGACAAGATCCTTCATGCTGGCTCTCAGAGGGTGTGACCCGCTGTTGTGGGGCAGGTGGGGCAGGACTTACAGTGCAGGCTGGTGGGACAGGTGGAATGGGAGTCATTTACCCACTTGGCAGCAAAGCCTGGCTCAGCCCGCTGGCATCTGTCCTCATGACTTAATTAAATCTATGTGAAAGCAGCATTTATTGAGTGCCAACCAGGTGCCAGGCCCCAAGCTGGTGCTTTCATCAGGTGTGTCTCTCCTTCCCTTGCCAGGCCAGGTATCATCCTCTGGTTGGACAAAGGAGCCCAGAGAGGCCATTGAAGCTGCCAAAGGTCACACAGCCAGAGTGTGTGAGAAGGCAGATGGAAGGGCCCTACCCCAAGTCAAATCACTAAAGCATAGAGAGACAAAGTCCTGTGTCAGTTGAGGAGGGAGGGGACACATCTGGAAAAGGTTCCTGGAGGAAGGTCACACATGAGCTTCACCTGCTAGGGTGTGGGTGGAGTTTTGGAGTCCAGGTGCCAAATCTTCTTGGAACACTGCAATGTTAATCACTAAGGGGGGCGGGTTCCCCCACATCCAGGCCCATCTTTCACCTAAGCTCTGGCTACCCCCTCCCCAGGCAAGAGGAGATCTGGCAGCTATGGGGGAAACTGAGGCAGGAGGAGCCCCACCTGGCAGGCAACCTGGAGGGCTTTCTGGCCAAGATGACCAGTCGCTTGCAAGAGGCTCAGGCGGACAAAGAAGCTCTGGAGCTGACCCTGAGGAAGTGAGTTGTTGGGCCAGGCATGTGCAGGAAGGGCCCTCCCAGCACCTGCACTTAGTAGGTGTGCTTCACATTTTAGTTGAGCCCAGATGGAATTCCTCTACACAGCAGGGCCAGAGGGGGGCGCTGTGTGGGCCAGCGCTGAGCTGGCGCAAGAGTAGGACTGTTCACGTAATTAGCACACAGATGGTGACCCCGGAAAGAGTCTCTGAGTTAGGCGGCAGGGAGATGGTGACAGAGGCAACGGACACAGAGAATAGTGGGCCGATGGGGATTCTGTGGAAGGTTCACAAAGGGGCTGCTATCTTGGTAGTGGTTACGGTTAAAGCTGTATGGGTCAGGATGGCTCTTGCCAGGTGACAAGAGTCAGTGAACGCTGCCAGGGAGAGGTGAGCAGGACACCAGAGGGGCTGGTGGGCTGCCTGAGCCCAACCCCACCCCATCACCTTTGACCCTTTCCAGATGTGACTCTGACCACCACCGGGAGGTTCAGGGGCTCTACGAGGAGATGGAACAGCAGATCCGCCGGGAGAAGCAGCAGCTACAGGCTGAGGTGGGCTCCCTTCCACCAGCTGCCCCATGGCCCCCTGCCTCTCACTCCTCCACTGCCCTCCTGCACCCCTATTCTGGCTTAGTGATGGAGGCTGGGATTGGCCAGTGGGGACAGCAAGAGGCTGTTGGGAGCAAGTCCCCTCAAAGCTCTGACCAGTGTGTGTTCCCTGGAGAGATATAGGCCCTGTATGGCTCTGTGGGAGCTCACTGTGCACCCCATAGCCAGCCCTTCCCTTGTCTGGGCTTTAGTCTCCTTATCCCCAGGATCTAAGCTGAGGAGACCTGAGCTGAGTGCTCTCCCTGCTGGGACACCTGTTCCCTGCACCACAGGCCTGGGTTAGAGGTGTGAGTTGGGAGGACCAGTCCTGCCAGCTGGGACCTGGAGCCCGCAGTGCAGGGCCTGAGGTCTCTCTGATCCTCAGAGCCACTCTCGGGACCTGGCCCTCAGCTCACAGATGCAAGAGGTCCTGGAAGCTAAGGAACGTGAAGTGCAGCGGCTGGCTGAAGGCCAGAGGGAGGTGAGTGTCCGGAAGCCTCCTGTCTGAGGGGTCATGGATGCTGACGGCCATCCTTGGACCTGCCACTAATATGCTCTAGTCTGCAGACTTCATTGGGCTGGCTGACCCCTCATGTGAATATATCTCCCTGGGAATATATACCCCTGGACCTTTGTTTCTTAGAGGAAGCCAGATGGTGATAGAGGATGGATGGACATGAACCCAAATCCCTGCTGTTTGTTTCACTTAAGAGCCATGCAAACCTGACAGAAATCACTTTGCTCGTCCCCTCAGTTCTTCTATCTGTAAAATGGGGTTAACTGCATCCACTGCATCTTGTAGACTTACTATGTTAAATGAGGTAACAGCTTTAAGCCTTTCTTCTATTACTGTTTACATATAAAAACTTGCTTTTGTTCAGAAAAAACTTGACCTTGTTAGCCACAAGGAATTGACCAATAAAAGGTAATGTGGTGTTCTGCTGAATTGTTTTGAACTGGATTAATTGGCAGAGGTAGAGTACTGCTACTTTTCTAAGTTTCTTTTGTGAATGAAAACTTAGGAATAATTGTTTTTTATACAGAAAAGTTTTTGCTGTTAATCAGGAAATCCATATTTATTTTGTAATTAAGTGTCAAGCCTGTGGATGATTTTTGAGACCTCTCCAAAGTACTGAATAGCAATGATATCAGGCTGGAGACCAAGATGCATCTTAGATAGGCCATGGTCTTTGCAATCACTTGCTATGCGTCAGAGAGCTGGAAAATTACTAGAGATAATAGAAGGAGAATTGATGCCTTTGAGCTGTGGTGATGGAGAAGAGGATTGAATATACCAAGGACTGCTAAGAGAACGAACAGGTTCATCCTGAGAGGGTGAAGCCAGGCTGCTCCTTGGAGGCAAGGATTCTGAAGCTTCGTCTGACATCCTTTGGACATGTTGAAGGAGGGACCAGTTCTTAGAGAGGGATGTCATGCTGGGGAGGGTGGAGGGACAGCACAGGAGAGGAAGACCCTCAATGACATGGATTGATTCAGTTAGTGGGATAATGGGAGTAGGTGTGTCAGAGATAATAAGGTTGGCACAGGATAGAGCAGGGTTCAGAGCTGTTGTACATAAGGTCACTACGAGTAGCAGGTAACTCGACGGCACATAAAAACACAAGTTCATAAAGGTTTACAGTAAATAAAAGGATGCTGTATAGCAATACCAAAGGAATTCAGTAGCTCTTGCTGTTTAGGAATGTGAGTCAGATATTAATGGGTCAGATCATTTTTCTTCTGTGCTTGTTGCCACATCTTAGCAAGCACCAAAAACAAAAGCAGTTTTTAAACGGATACATAAAGAAAATCATACAAATCACTGCTTCTGCGTGCTGTGTTGTGTTACAGTCCAGTTTTGTGTGCTTTACTACGTAGTTTGGTTACAGAACTTCTGTACACTGTAAACATAAACAGCATGGAAAAGGTTAAATACCTGTGTTCAGATTGTAAGATCTAGTCTGGACTTGCTGTGTATATTATGACATTAAATGAAAAAGAACCCCGCTTTGTATCATAGTCATGCAGTCTTATGTATGAAAAACAGAATAATTTTAAAAAGTAATGAGGTAACAGCACTTTTGAGAACAGTGCACGCTTGGTCTAAATATTGCAGAGACTTGGTGATGAGACATTCAGCTCTGTTCCCCTGGCCCCCTGAGTGACCATAGAGCCTGGGCTTTTTCGTCAGAGGAATGCTGGCCAGAGCTTCATCTGGGATTCGTAGGTGCAGTTAACTGGAGGATTTGGAGACCCGTGTGAGTCCTGTGTGGCTCTGAGAGGAGCAGCCCTGGAGGGCTATGAACAGAGGAGGGTGTGGAGCACTCCTTAAGCTTAACCCTCTCTCCCTTCACCTACAATTAACATGTCTCTCTCGGGTGGGAGGCAATGCAGCTAGTTAGGCCAATGGGGTAACCCTTCCCACCCTGAACCTGTGTTTTAAACTGAGTTTTCGGAAGCCTCCAAGGAGGAGGGGTGGTCTAGCTCCCCAGTCTAGTGGCCTTAAGTGGCTTTGCCTTGCCCAGATGGCTAGTAGACTACTCTCCTCACCTTCCACCCCCACAGCTGGAGGCCCAGCTTGACCACCTCAGCACCACCCACCAGGAGGCCAGCTCAGAGAACCAGCATCTTCGGGAAGCTGAGCGAGAGCTGGCGGGGCGGCTGGAGGAGGTGCAGGGACAGCTGCAGGTGACCAGGGGCCACCTGAAAACTGCCAAGGGCCTTGTGTCTTGGCAAGTGGCAGAGACAGAACCAAGGTAAGTGGCTGCCACGTGTGGCCTGCTGGGGTGAAGGTCAGGGGCTTCCTGCGAGAGGGGAAGGGGCTTCTGTGTTCCCAGGCTCTTGTCAGCACTCTGTGCACCCACACAGAGGCCCCTTCCTAGACTTCTCTCAACAATCCCTCTGTGCTAGAAAGATCTGGCCCAGGTCACAGAAAGGAAAGTGAGGCACAGAGAGGAGAAAGACGCATAACTAAGGCTGCATGCTTTGGGGACACACACACACACACACACACACACACACACACACACCCCCTCATGAGTTGCAAGTTACCTAGTAGTCACTCACTTTACTTGATGTAGCTTGGAGGAAGGAAAAGAGTCAGGATGGTCAAGGCAGGCTTCCTGGAGGAAGTGACATTTCACATGATCCTTGAAGGATGAGTAAGATTGAATGAGGAAGGACTGGCAGGAAGGGCTGACAGAACACAGCCTGAGAGGGAGGTCCTGGCTTTCACGTGTAAAAGACGATAAGGGATGCTAGTAGGGTTGGTGTCCCCCAATCCCACTGCCTCCTCCTCCTCTGATAATCACATCCTCTCATCCTTTCCAGGGAGGACAAAGCAAAAGAAGAGCCAATCCCAGCTCCCCAGGCTGTCTCTCCTGAGGAGACAACCCTGCCTGGGCTGTTTGGGGACAATGATGACTGGAATCAGCTCCTGAGTGGCTTTAGCAGTACCCCACTACAAGCCCTGCAGCTCTCCTGGAGCCCACCCCCGACTCCAAAATTCTCCTCGGCCCCCCAGACACCCCGAGTGGTCAGGCAGATCTCCATCTCAGAGCCACACACTCCACTGTTTAGTCAGGAGGCGTCTTTGGATCTGGCTAGAACTCCGAGGAGCTCCCTTGGGAGGCCTTTCACAGACCAGGAAGGGAAAGCAGGGGACCCAGATGAGAAGGACATCAATTCTGAGCAGCCTGTGGAGCCTCCAGGTGTGGAAACCAAGGAGAAGCCAAGGCCAGAACCCGAAGCCCACTTCCACTGGGATTTCCCTGGGATCCCAGCTCAGGAGTCAGGGAGTCTGGTGCCAGCCACACTCAAAATGCTTATACCATTGGAGGATGGGTCTCCAGCGGCACCTTCCCCTCCTCAGGCCCCAGCTGGGTCCAGTGAATTGTTCCAGGCCTCAGACCCAGAAGACAAAGGTCCCAGACCTGGGCCTGTGCCGGCCAAACCACCAAGACAAATACAGGTCCTCCTTCAGGACCTACACACCAAGGTTGAGCCAGCGTTAGAGTCTCTGGGGGCTGAGACCATCACAGTGGGGCCAGATGAGTCCCCTCAGGGTCCGGAGACTTCCACAGTAGTGCTGCAGCCAGCAAAGCCAGGCCCAGACAAGCACGGCCACTCCGAGGGACCAGTGGGAACACATGGACAGGCTCTTAGGCCAGATGGGCCACCTGCTCTCCTCTGGCAGAGTCTGGAAGAGGAAGCAAAACAAGGGGATGGAGGCAGGGAAAACATGTCTCCAGGCCTAGGAGCTGGGAATTCAGAGCACCCCCTGAAGGATGCTCTGGCTACTGCTCCCCAACATGGCCCACCCCAGGCTCAGGTTGGAGCTGAAGGACCCACTCCTGCAAAGCCATTGGCCCCAGGCAGCCCTTTCCCTATGGGGGTTCAGCCTGATGATGAAGCAGGACCCTGGGAACCCCCACACACTCTCCCCACGATGGGTGGACTGGAAGCCAAAACCAAGTTGTCATCTGAGACGGCTCAAGCCAGTGAACATGGCCCCCCTCAATCGAGGGAGCAAAGGACGGAACACAGGGATGAAGACCTAGAAACAAACTTTCAGGAGACTGGGCTGCCCCCATTTCCAGGGCACTTCCAGGCCGATAAGCCTCAGACTGACCCTGATTCTGTCTTCCATATCATCTTCCTGGGGGACTCGAATGTGGGCAAAACCTCCTTCCTGCACCTGCTGCACCAGGACTCCTTCGCCACCAGGCTGACTGCCACCGTGGGTAAGAGCTCAGCCTGGGGAAGGTGGGAGGGAGGGAGGGAAGACCCTGGGGGCCGGGCGGACAAGCCAGAGCAGGCCCCAGCGAGCCATCCCTGAGGACACAGCGGGCTCTGCCCTGGCCACGGGCCCCGCGTGAGACATTATTTTATATAGGCATAATCTCACTATTTTACTAATCATCTCTAATTACAGGTAATTTGCTTTTTCTGCATTGATCTGATTAGCTTATAATATGCCACATCAACAAAGCACCCTGTAATTTAGGTGCCAGCGCTGGATGATGGTGAAAACAAGCATGTCTCCGCACACGTGGCGTGAGGGCAGGCCACTGCAGGGCCCGTGGTGGCTGGGTTTGCTCCTGGCGGGCTCCAGGCCAGTCAGCCATGCTCTGGCACAAAGTCACCTTGGACAAGTTGCATCTTTTAGACAGAATGGAGACTGAGGTGTTAGGGACCCCAGTGCCTGATTTCAAATCCTGGCTCTGCCATTTGCTAGTTGTATCACTTTGGACAAATGATTGAATCCTTCTAAAAGGCCAAATCCTCATCTGAATAAAGGGGACAGCAATGGTGCTGACTTTCTAGAGTAAGTATTAGAAGCATGGAGAATAATGTCTAGCACCTAGTAAGGGCTCAGTAAGTATTATTATAATATCTCATCATGTCCAATTCAGTGGCTCCTGCCAATGAAATGCCCCAAAGCACAAAACTTCTCTACCCTAAAGAGATCAGGGTCTATAGTTTGCACTGCAGGACAAAGATGGGCAATCTCCTCCCATGTAATCTGCCGTCTCCCAAACACTCATTGGAGGATCATTACTTGTCGATTCCAATTCAAGAGCAAATAACAACATGGTTTGCACCAAGAGAACTCTGATAGCCTAGTGGGGAAAAAGTTGCACTGCCAACCTGAAGGTAGGTGGTTCGAATCTACGAGATCTTCTGAAAGAGAAAGATGGGCAATCTCCTCCCACATGATTTACAATCACTGAAAACCTGGTGTGGTGGGGGCGGGACTACCTATGGGTCAGTTTCTACACCAATGAAAGAGAGTGCAAGAGATAATTGGCACTATTCCCTCGGTGGTTCAGTTAATCTGCTCAGTTGCTACTGAAAAACAGCCTCTTCCAGCCAATCAGACCATTACTGGGGAAAAATCTTGGTGATCTACTTCCAAGGAATCAGCCAGCAGAAACCCCTATGGAGCCCAGATAACACATGAAGTCACTTTGAGTCAGGAATGACTCACTGGCAGCTAATGCTCAGTTCTGTTTTTAAAGAATCATTTTAATGTTGCCTCAACACTCTTGGCACCAGCAGTAAGGAAAACAAAAGACAAATTGCACTTGGAAAATCTGTTGCCAGAGACTTCTCCAATGTGCTGAAGAGCAAGGATGTCATTCTGCAGACCAAGGTGTGCCTGATCCAGGCCATAGTCTTTACAATTACTTGCTATGCATCAGAGAACTGGACAATGAATAAGGATGACAAAAGAAATAGCGATGCCTTTGAATTGTGGGGCAGGAGAAGAGTATTGAAGATAACCATGGACTGACAAGAGGACAAACAGGTCTGGCCTGGAGAGGGTGAAACCAAGCTGATCCTTGGAGACAAGGATTTTGAAGTTCCATCTCATAGACTTTGGGCACATGGCCAGGAGGGACCAGTCCCTGGAGACCAATATCATGCGTGGAAAGGTGGAAAGACAGCCTAGGAGAGGAAGACCCTAGATGAGATGGACTGATACAGTAATTGGGTAATGGGGGCAGGAGTGTCAGAGAGAGTGAGATTGGCTCAGAATAGGGCAGTGTTCAGAGTTATTGTTCATAGGATCAATATCCTATGTCGCAATCAACTCGATAGCACATAACAACAGTAACAACAACAAAGGTTGAGAAAAGTAAGCTGGTGTTTCCTTTGGCTTTGTCTCTACTAGGGCAATAGATGTTCTTTTCCTCTGCATTGCAAGGCCTGTTTATCCTTTAAAATGTATTCAAAAGGTTAGCACATCTCAACTGTTGAAAATTTAAAAAATGTAAGCTGGTGGGAAGGAAGACCCATTTAGCGGCAAAGATGGAGGGACTTGTTGTCTTTGGACTAACAAAAGCATTTGCTGACATTTGCCAGGGCCAGGCCAGTGGGTAAATGAGAGCCCTTCACAGAAGGGACCTAGAACAGGTTCTCAAACTCTAAGAACCCTCCCCTGGGCTGCTTATTACAAACACAGTGCCTTTGGGGACACGAGAGATGGTAGGCCTGGACTGAGGTCAGGGACGGGAGCCCGCGGTAGGCCTGGTCTGAGGTGGGGGACAGAGTGCATGGTAGGCCTGGCCTGAGGTTGGGGACAGGAACCTGTGGTAGGCCTGGCCTGATGTTGGGACTGGAGCCCCTGGTAGGCCTGGCCTGATGTTGGGCCCAGTCATGGTGTCTGCTGGGGTTCCACCACTAGTCATCTTAGCTCCTGTTTACTGACGCCTCCAATGCACCAGGCATCTTATCTATTCTTCTTACTCCTTACAACCACCCTCCTTATAATTAAGTCTTCCCTTTATTATATGTTAAGAAGGCTCTACAACATTCAATTAAGAAAGAAAAAAAAAGTAAGAAAGAAAAAAACCATTGTGGAAAGACAGGGCCAGGCTGCACCCCTGGCTGGTCAGCTGGGAGACCCTGAGACCCAGACGCAGGACCCAAACCTGCCCCAGTCCCAGCTGTGACTTGGCACCAGCAGGTAGCTATTGTCCATTCAGGCATAACTATCACTGGTTTCGCCAGACATGAGCATTCTTCACCCTCCATTTGTTACCCTCCCTCCCCCTTCACTCAGCTGACAGGAACTGGGCGGGGGGGGGGGCGGGGGGCTGCCTGCATTTGAGAATAGGGCCAAGTGGGAAAGTGGAGCTGATTGAATTACATCTGAGTGTGTGTTTTTGTGAGCTTTTCCCATGTCTACCTATTTTACAGGGGAGTCTGGTGGCCTAGTAGGTAAGGAGCTGCACTGCCAGCCCCAAGGCACATGATTAGAATCTTCCATCTGCTCTGAAGAAGAAAGGTGGGCAGTCTCCTCTTGTGCCTCTGAAAATGTACAGCCTCTGAACACCCACTGAAGAGGCAGCTATGGGTCAGTTGTAACTCTATGGCACATAACAACAAATCTATTTTACAGATAAGGAAATTGATTTGAAGACCTGATTACATTTCTTCAACTTAATTCTGGCCTTAAGCCAGGCCCTGACACTAAAGCTCACACCCAGTACCACCTGTCTTCAAGGCACATGTCCCTGTTCCACAAGCTTTACCTTCTTTTGGGTTTGGCATTGCCCTGTCTCTAGGCCATACATTCTGGAGAAAGTGAAAACAGATTCTATCCCTAACAGATGATATGGTTCCACTGCAGCATGGTGCAAGTGCAAGGACACCTGGGTGAATTGATGAAGTCAAAGTCATTGCCATGGAGTCAGAGCTGACTCATAGAAGTGGGTTTCTGGAGGCTGCAAGTCCCCTGAGAGGAGAATGCCCACCTTTCTACCATAGAGCTGCTGGAAGACTCAAACCACCAGAGAAGTGCCACCTTGGGGGTAGCAGTGCAGCTCCCAACTGCCTACACCACCAGAGCTTGAGGAAGGGATGGGCAAGACATAGAAACCAAGCCATCAAGTCAGCCGCAAATCCATGTCCAATAGAATAGACCTGCTTCTTAGGGTTCTCCCGGCTTGGTGGAAGCAGGCAGCTGGGGTTTTTTCCATGGTGCTGTCGAGTGGATTCGAATTTCCATCTTTGGAGTTTGAGTTACAAACTGCTGTGCCATGCAAAAATGCTATGTCCCTAACAGTTTATGTGGTTAAGTTGTAACGTGTTCAGAGGTTGTGGTGGGGGGCGGGGGGCGTGGATAAATTGAAGAAGGAGGTGGAAAAGTCAGAGTGACAGTTATTAAATCTCAGGACAAATTGTTAGGGCAGCTCGTTAAAGGCAACTGGCCTTCTATCACTGTGGGATCGAGGCAGAAGCTGGATATTATTGCAAGATTGGATTAGCTATCCTCAGAGCTTGTCTGCAGATCCCAGACTTCCTAAAGCCTCAGGAAAGATGGTATCAAAAAGAACTCAAAACTTAGAACTGGTTTTTAGAGCCTGTGAATTGCGCTGGATAAGACTGGCCATCTTTCTCCTGTAGGGGAACTGACAGATGCCAACTGTCTGCTTTTGAATTGGTCGTGCAACTCCTTAGTTACTAGGCCATCAAAGAGAAATGGGTGTTTAGGACTTTGCCATCTAAGGAGCTACCACTTTTTCCTGGCATCACTAGAAAACACGAAGGGGTCGGGCAGGCCTTTGGTCTTCATTACCAGCAGGGGGCAGCAGCAGGTGCTGTGGGGGGTCTCTATTCTTGCTTTAGACCAAGCTGGAGTGTGCCAGCCTCCAGCTCCTTTAGGAAAGGATACGGGAAATGGGACAAAGCAGACCTTCCCCATCAAGCCTTCAACGTTGGCCTGGTTTCCTTGGGTAGTGGAGGACTGGCAAGAAAGTATCCCCAAAATTCCCGACCTTCCTGGAATTTCACTATAAGCTACATGCTTCCAAGGACAGAAAAGATCTGGAAGTATGTTCACTAAGGCAAGATAGGAGTGTGATACTTAGGGAGATGAGAATTAAGAATCATAAAACAATTACCAATTTTTTTTGTTGATACTTATTATTCTTTACCAATTGAATTGATCATTTTTTATGATTGGTAAATTTTTTTATAATTGACAAACTTCTAGTTGTTATTTAAAAATAACAGAAGTAGTCAAAAGTGTCGTTTCTCAAGTGAAACCAAAGCTTTGACAGTCTCTGACTGAATCTTCTCATTAAAAAGGAAAACAAACTCACTGTCAAGTTTATTCTAATTCATCCACCTTGGGGGCGAATAGACAGAGTAGAACTTCTACGTAAGTTTCTCAAGGCTGTAAATCGTGACAAACTCTGACATTGCTGTCACATGAGAGAGCTTCCAGAACCAACTCACAGCTGACCTTCAGCAGGTTTTTCAGAGGTGGTAAGTCACACAGGAGGAGACTGACCGTCTTTCCCTCATGGAGCAGCTGGCTGACGAGAACAGCCTTTGAGTTGTGGTGTTGGAGAAGAGCGTTCATTATCTCACTGACTGCCCAAAGAACAGATAATTTGTCTTAGAGAAAGTGCAGCCAAGGTGCTCCTTGGAGACACGGCTGGTGAAACTTCATTTCACATACTATGGGTGTACTGTCAGGAGGGACTAGTCCTTGGAAAAAGACATCATGCTGGGAAAAGTGGAGGAGTAGAGGAGGAGAAGACCCTCAACAAGATGGATGGACACAGAGACTGTAACAATGGGCTCCAAGTATATCAGAAGGGAGGATGGTTTAGGACAGAGCAAGGCTCAGAGCTGTTGCTTATAGGATTGTGATAAGTCACAGTCAACTCAGTGGCATCTAACAAACAAATCTTTACAGGAGAAAATGGCTTTTCCTTTTCCTTCTTAGCGGCTTGTGGGCTCCAGCTGCTGACCTTTTGACCACCAGCCCAGTGCTTAATCTACGGCATCATCAGGGCTTCTTGACTTTCCCCAATTACTCTGCAGCTTAGATCTTTTTTAATTACCACCTTGTTGTTTTTATGTGCCATCCAGTCACCTGCGACTCACAGAGACCCTATGCACAAAAGCTCTGAACCTTGCCCTTCCTGAGCCAGTCTCTAACACCCCACTCCCATGACCCCAGTTACTGTGTCAGTCCATCTCGTCCAAAGTCTTTCTCTTCTGCGCTGACCCTCCACCTTTCCAAGCATGATGTGCTTCTCCAAGGGCTGGTCCCTCCTGGCAACATGTCCAAAGTATATGAGACAGAGCTTCAAAATCCTTGCCTTCAAGGAACAACTTCATTTTACCTTCTCCAGAAGAGACCTGTTTGTTCTCATGGCAGTCCATGGTATGTATGTTCAATACTTTTCTCCAGCATACAACTTAAAGGCATCGATTTTTCTTCTGCCATTCTTGGTCATTTTTCTTTGATGCATGGTATGTAATTCCAAAGATCATGGCCTGAATCAGGCACACCTTAGTCTCTAGAGTGACATTCTTGCTCTTTGGCACTCTGGAGAGGTCCCTAACAACAGATTTTCCTAATGCAATTGATCTTTTGATTTCCTGACTGCTGGTGCCAAGCCCTTATGGATGAGGAAATGGAAGCTCAGAGAAGGGATTTGACTTGCCTAAGGTCACACAGCCTATCTAGGGGCAGAGGGTGGATCCTTCCCAAAGCCAGTGCTCCTTCAGCTATTGAGCAGAGGGAGTTGGTGCTCCCTCCTCTATTCTGCTATCTAGCTGAAGAGAGAAGGTGCATCTATCAATTAGGGAATAAAAGAAGAGTTATAAAAATAATGAGGCTGGTTTTTCCAGGCAGCCTGAGGATTAAACATTGCTGTGCAGTTGGGAAGACAGTTAGGCTCACTGAAATAAACATAGCACATGGCGCTTAGGGTTGGTGTTGGCACTGACTGCCAGGATGTGGGCTGTGAATCCTTTGGGTTAGGTGATCAGGGAAGACTTCTTGGAGTAAGTGGGCCCTGGAATATAGATAGGACTTGGAAAGCAGAGATGAAGGCTCTCCCCTCATTTTGGCTGGCATTTGAGAGGAGGCACATTTTGGCTGGAAGAGTCCTAGGTGGTACAAATGGATAATGCACTTGGCCACTAATTGAAAGACTAGAGGTGCCTCAGAGGAAAGGCCTGGAAATCTCCTTCCAAAGACCAGCTGCTGCAAACACTGTGGAGCACTCTTCTACTCTGACATAGGTGGGATGGCCATGAGTCAAAGTCAAGCTGATAGTTAACTGGTTTGCCTTCCAGTTTTGTCTAGAGGTCCTAGAAGGTACATTGAAAGTGAGACTTAGCCTCTCTCTCTGTTTCAGGAGTGGATTTTCGCGTCAAAACCCTGCTGGTGGACAACAAGCGCTTTGCACTGCAGCTCTGGGACATAGCTGGCCAGGAGAGGTAATGGGCACTGTTGACAAGATCCACCATTGGTGGTGTCAGGGATGAGGGCTGGGCATGGAGGTGCTGACCTTGAGGAGTCAACATGGACAGGAGGTGACCATGTGCAAATGAGGCATTGACCCTTAAGGATTCAGGGTGTTAGGGAAGCAGAGGTGAGTGAAGTTCAAGTGGCAGGGCAAGGCAGCAGGCACAGATGTTCCTGTCCAGCCAGGCAGCACACAGCTCAGGGCTGTTCACTTATCTGTCCTCAGAATGCTGTTCTCCCACTTCTCAGCTAAGTAGTGATGATCAAGATTTTAAAATCACATATTCTTTGTCTCAGCAGTTCTTCTAGAAATTTGTCTTATAGATATAATCATGTTGTTGTTGTTGTTATTGAGTACCGTCAAGTCATAGACGACTCATAGCGACCCTATGAACAAAAGACCTGAACAACTCTATAACTTTCAACATTTCTCCAAGTTCATAGAGTTTCCAGAGGCAAGCTATTTAGAGAGTGGATGCCACTCCTGCTTCCAAACCTGTTTTAATTGGGTAACTCCACCAAACACTCTCCGCCGTGGGTAACCATTTGATGCATCATATGTGACTATAATAACAAGGGGCCTAAGACCATTCATAGCATTGATACTATGAAACATTGGAAATGTACAAAATGTCCTTCAATAGAGGACAATCTATACAATGGAAAATGTTATTGTTGCTATGTGCCATCGAGTCAGAACTGACTCATAACTAACCCTCCATGGCTTTTAAGAGGCTTTAATTTGCATAGGAGATTGCCCAATCTTTCTCCTGTGGAGCAGCTGGTAGATTTGAACTGTGTGCCTTGGGTTGGCACCACAACTCCTTACCTACGAGGCTACCAGAGCTCCTTACAATGGAGTATGGTGAAGCCATAAAAAATACTGAAGACTCTGTACTAGTAGGGAAATATCTACAAGCTTTGTTTTGCATAGGAAAAACAAAGTGCAAGAAACTTAGTATTAGTGTATTAGTGAATGTTTTACCTTGAATTTATGTAAAATGGAAAGGAAGATATCTCTGTGTGTATATACACGTACATGTGTATATGTATGTCTCTGTATATATATAAACATGTATATCTATAAAATGGTGGCTTAGTAGTAAGAAGAGAGCTCTGGTCACCTAGTGGCAAGAAGCTGTGCTACAATCCCAAATGCACATGGTTTAAGTCCACCAGCTGCTCTGTGGAGAAGGATGGACAATCTTCTCCCGTGTGATTAATTGCCTATGAAAACCCACTAGAGGGTCAGCTGTGGGTCACTTCCAACTCGATTGTACACAACAACAACAACAGTGGTAAGAAGCTGCACCACAGTCCTGAAGTCATGCGGTTCGAATCCACAAGTTGCTCCACAGCAGAAGGATGGACAATCTTCTCCCTTGAGTTTTACTGCCTCTGAAAACTTACTTGAGAGTCAGCTATGGATCTGTTTTAACACAATGGTACATAACAACAAAAACAGTTATATCTATACACACACATGCACACATTTACATAAAATACTTCGGGAAAAATGCTTAAGAACCTGGTCACTCTGGATGCCTCTGGGAAGAGGGACTGAGTGGCTATGGAAAGAGGAGAGGGAGATTCTTTGCTGGGTGCCTTTTGAAACCCCAGCTGTGAGAACATGTCACCTATTCAGCAAAAGCTACACTGTAAAAAAGAAGTCATTGCAGACCCATTTTGGGAAGCAACCTGAGGCAGAAGTAGGCATTATACGCACTTTGTGGATGGGCTGGCTGAGGCCCAGAGAGGCCAGGGCCTGGGGTGAGGCGGCCTGGTGGGGCCTCACACCGTCTCTGGGGGCAGGTACCACAGCATGACGCGGCAGCTGCTCCGGAAGGCAGACGGGGTGGTGCTGATGTATGACATCACTGACCCAGAGAGCTTTACGCATGTGCGCTATTGGCTGGACTGTCTCCAGGTAAGCAGCTGATCACCAGGGGTAGGCTCCAGCTTTGAGGCCAGAGAGATGCTTGTATCTTGTCCGCTCCCCTTTTTTCCCCATAGAATTACAAATGACATGACAGGCATGTGGATGACGCCACCCACTGAGGGCGTGTGGCTGGATGAACTGAGCAGAGTACAAAGAAACCACACACACACACACACACACACACACACACACACACACACACACACACCGCTTTCCCCCCACTCAACTTCTTCCTTTATTCTATGGGCCTTTCTTTCCTACACACAGCCATCCTGTATCTCTTCATAGTATCTTATTTTTGACATTTGAGAAGACTGTAATTCCAGTACACTATAGGTGATAAATTTCCTGTCCATATAGCCCTCGCCTTTTCTCTCACTTCATATGTATATGCTGGAATTCTGTAACATACCCTGTAGCCGTAGAACAAGGTGTGTGAAGTAAGACACATTGTATTCTTTCCAGAAGTTTCTAGTCTAGTCAAAGAGATACAAAAGAAGCAGAATGCGGTAATAATTGAGGAGAGGAATTGAGCTCTGAGGTATGATAGGACCTGGGTTTGAATCTCAACTCTCCAGTCCCCTAATGGTGACCTTAGACGAGTGTCTCAACCTTTCTGAAATTACAGTCTTCCTACTTCTGCCCAAGAGGGGGTGTAAAGGCTGACTGATATAATTCTGTTCACAATAGTGCCTGGAATGTAGCAAACAGTCAAGGAAGTTGTTATTATTTTGTTACTACTCCTCAGGAAACATGCCAAGGCATTCTGGGTGCACTCTTCTATACTTCACAGAAGGCTTCTGGGGGAGGTGTACTAGAGGCTGGTCTTAGAAAGTGAGTGAGACTCTGCAGGTAGAGAAGAGGGGCAGACTCACTGTACATGGGGGAGGGAATGTGGAGGGCAGAGACAGAGAGAGAGAGGTAGCCCCCAACCCTGGGCCAGTGTCGGAGAAGAGACACACTCATTCCCGAGAAGGCAGGACCAGATCTGGCCCAGGCCCCAGCACATGCTCAACCCCTGTAACAGAGACTATGTTCTGTGTGCAGGAAGCAGGGGCTGACCAGGCGGTTGTCCTTCTCCTGGGAAACAAGACGGACTGTGAGGAGGAACGGCAGGTGCCTACTGAGATTGGGCAGCAATTGGCCAAGGTGAGCTCATGGGCAGCAGTCCTTCTCCAGCCCACATGGGGCAGATACCACAGTAGGGGGCACTAGAAAGGGGTTACCTAGGCCTGGGCAGCTGAGAAGGAGCATTCTGCCCCCAAAAAGACTGGGTCAGAGCAGATAGCAGCCTGGCTGCCTCTCCCACTCACACTATACCGCTGTCCCCCAAGTGTCTGGAGACCAACCTTGACTTAAGCATGAGGCAGTAATAATGGACATGATATTGAACCTCACTGTTGAATCAGCAAATTCCCACATGATGCCCTCACGTTAAAAAAAAAATAAAAATCATGTTCAGAGTAAAAAACAAAAACGTTTTAAAAGCTCCACTTAAAATTCCCAATCAAATCTTAATTTTATCTCTGGTCTCTAATTAACATTCTTCCTTCTAATTTATTCTATTTTAAGACTCAAATTCTTCCCTGGGACGATGACATCAAAAGCTCCATCACCAGACAGGGGATATTATTTAATTAGGAGAATTTAACCACATTCCAGAAAATCTAGAGAACAGTAAGAAAGGAGAAGTAGAAGGGGAAAACCCCCCACACCAAACAACCAAAGCATCCTTCCCACCATCCTCGAACTGGACCCTTCTTAGTATTTCCATGTTGTATTTTCTTCCTGTTTCTCCTCTCACTTCTCAGAATCATAAAGTCATCATTATGATGCCTGGTTTGTGGGATTCCCCCCACCCCCATTCCTCTTAAAGGTAGTAACTCAACCCTTTTTAACTCACTATAATTTCTCCTCTTACAATTTATCCTGAGGAAAGAATGAGAAATAATGATGCCTGAGGAGGTAACATAATGTATACCTGTGTATCATGTATAATCAAACATGTTTATATGAAGATGTTCTTACAATGCTATTTATAGAACACACCAGGCTGAAGCCGATGGTTAAAGTGTGGTGTGCTCACATGAGAGGTTAGTTATTTGCTGTTCAGGATCCATGAGGGAAGAATATTTACGAGGATGGGAGAAATGCTTCCAATAAAATGTGAAGTCAGAGAGCAGGCTGCAAGTCTGGATATAGGTTACTGTGAACCATATGAAATTGCTGATACTGTTTGGGGTTTACATATCAGTCCTGAGAAGGTATAGCTTAGAGCATATGTTTTACACATACAGGGCTAAGGGTTCAACTCCCAATACCTCCAGCCCTTATTTGGAGTTCCTACGTAGTGCAAATGGTTAATGTGCTTGGCTGCTAACCGAAAAGTTAAAGTTTCAAGAAAGGTACTTCAGAAGAAAAATGTGGCATTCTATTTAAAAAAACACACAAAACAAAACTAAACAAAACAAAACCCCAGCCATTGAAAACTGTGGAGCCCGGATCCACAGGTGTTGACATAAGTCAGAGCTGACATCATGATCACAGCTGGTAACCTAACAGCATGATAACATTTAATCTATTTTCTTCAAGTCAAAGGGTTAAATAAAATCATGGGAATATGTACATATGGAGTTGTTGTGTACTGTTGAATGGGAACCGACCCATAGCTGACCCTTTAGCAGGTTTTCAGAAGCAATAAATCATATGGGAAGGGACTGTCCACATTCTCCTGTAGAATAGCTGGTGGATTTGAACCATGTGCCTTTGCTTCGGCAGCACAATTCCCTACCACTAAGCCACCAGAGTGACTGTGTTCATATTCATATTCATCCTCTCTCTCTCTCTCTCTCTCTCTCTCTCTCTCTCTCTCTCTCTCTCTCTCTCTCTCTCTCACATACACACACACACGCACACGCACACATTAACAGAAGTGGCTTATATTTTGTTCTATACTGTTTCCCCACTATTTTCCTCAATGAAATATTTGTGAAATCAGAAAGCATAACCATGAGTTTTAAAACGTCCCCCAAGGTGTTTCTCCAAGCCAAGACTCTGAAGACTGAGGGATATTTCCAGTGTGGCAGCCTGGACACCTTGGCAACCTTGATGGAAAAGAGTGGGCAGAGTGGCCCAGCTAGGGTCACACCAAGGCCGAGCTTAGGAAAGTATTGGTCAGAACTCTGGTGGCCAGGGTTTTGACCCAACAGGTCCGTCGGAAGCCTGTCTCCTCAAGTTCTCAATGCCCCTGTCTGTTTGTGCTGCAGGAGCTGGGTGTCTCCTTTGCGGAGTGCAGCGCTGCCCTGGGTCACAACATCCTGGAGCCTGTGGTGAACCTGACCCGGTGAGTGTTACCTCATCCTTCTCCACACAGAATCATCTGGGGCAACCAGACTCATGGGAAGGGAAGGCCTTGTTGTTGTTGTTGTTATGTACCGTCGAGTCGCTTGCGACTCATAGCAACCCTATGTACAACAGCCCTAAACTCCGCTCTGTCCTGTGCCAATCGTACTGTCTCCGACATGCCCACCCCGATTATCCCAGTCACTGAATCAATCCACCTCATAGAGGGCCTTCCCCTCCTGCACCTTCCCTCCCATCCTCCCAAACATGATGTTCCTCTCCAAGGACTGGTCCCTCCTTACAACATGTCCAAAGTATGTTAGAAGGAGCCTCAGAATCCTTGCCTCCAAGGAACGTCCCAGTTTAACCCTTTCCAGGATGAATCTGTTTGTTTTCCTAGCAGTCCATGGTATCCTCAATACTCTTCTCCAGCACCACAGCTCAAAATCATCAATTATCCTTCTATCCTCCCTGGTCATTGTCCAACTCTCTGATGCATAACAAGTGATTGCGAAGACCATGGCCTGTATCAGACACGCCTTAGTCTTCAGAGAGACACCATTGCTCTTCAGTACTTTGGAGAGGTCCCTAACAGCAGACTTTCCCATGACAGTACGTTTTTTAATTTCCTGGCTACTGGTGCCAAGAGTGTTGACTGTGGAGCCAAGCAAACTAAAGCTGTGTACAATCTCAATCTCTTCACCATCCATCCTAATGCTGCCAATTGGTCCAGTGGTGAGAATCTTTGTCTTCTAGACATTGAGCCTCAATCCATACTAAAGGCTGCAGTCCTTGACCCTCTGCAGCAAGCACTTCAGGTCCTCCTCAGTTTCATCAAGCAGGGTTGTGTCATCTGCATAACGCAGATTGTTGATGAATCTTCCATCAGTCCTGATGCCACACTTCTCCTCATAGAGCCCAGCCTCCTGGATAATCTGTTCTGCATACAGGTTGAAAAGGTATGGAGACAGGACACATCCCTGGCATACACCCTTCCCAATTTTGAACCATGCAGTGTTTCCTAGCTCTGTTCTGATGACTGCCTCTTGGTCCAAGTATAGGTTTCGCATTAGCACAATCAAGTGTTCTGGGATTCCCATTCTTCTCAGAGTCAGCCACAGTTTGTTATGATCCACACAGTCAAATGCCTTTGCATAATCAATGAAACACAGATAGACATTCCTCTGGTATTCCCTGCTTTCAGTTAATATCCATCTAACATTAGCTACAATATCCCTAGTACCACGACCCCTTCTAAACCCAGCCTGGACTTCTGGCAGTTCTCTGCTGATGTGCTGTTCCAGTTGTTTTTGGATAATCTTCAGTAGACTCTTGCTTGCATGTGAAATCAATGATATTGTTCTATAGTCCACACTCTGTTGGAAGGCCTACTTTCCACACTCTGTTAGAAGGCCTACTTTCAGGAACTAGGCTAGTGCACACGTAGTTAAATAGCAAGACTCACCAATCTGGGCAAATAGAGAACTGCAATGAGACTTTCTTGACTCCAGCTCTTGCAATCGATTATTGTTTGCTGTCGAGTCAGAACCGACCAATAGTTGACCCTCCAGCTGGTTTCAAAGGCATTAAATCACATGGAAGGAGACTGCCCATCCTTCTCCCACAGAGTATCTGGTGGATTTGAACTGTGTGCCTTTGGGAATGCAGTGCAGCTTCTTACCACTAGGCCACCAGAGTCCCCAGCATTTTCATTAGCTGTATAATTTTCAGTGAGTCACTTCCCCTCTTTGAGCCTCAGTTTTCTTATCTATAAAGAGGTTTTGGGAGAAAAAAATGTTATTCTCTAGTTCTCAACCTTCTAGCGACTTCCTCTTCTGGATTTAGACTAAAATCTAAATGCCTGTTGTTGGCCTGTATCATCTCAGTCATCTATTCACTCCTATATACCCTCACTCACTCACTAAGCCCCAGCCTCAATGGCCACTCATTGGTCCCTCTCACATGTTTTCCTGCCACAGGGCCTTTGCACATGTTTGTCATCTGCCAAGAATACCCACTTCCCACCCTCAGTTGGCTTCTTCCCATCTTTTGGAGAAGAACCTGTGATATAATATTGAACGCTTGACTATTACACAAACCATTCACTCCATCCTTGGGAGAAGTACATGGCAGTCTCCTTCAGTAAAGATTATAACTTTGGAAATCTCATGGGCCAGTTTAATTCTGGCCTGTAGGTTTGCCATGATGGCTCAAATCAACATCATCTTTCAGATTTCAATGAAAAGATTCTCACCACTGCCCCCCGACTCCATCCTCCATCACTGTTTTGTGTCTTTCACAGCATTCTCAATGAATTGTAGTTTTATGTGTGTTTGTGCCTTTTGTTTTCTTTTTGTCTGCCTATCACACTACACCGTAGTTTCAAAATGACAAAGTCATATCTGGTTGGTCCATGCACTTTGCACTTCTGCCCCATTCTCCAGTTGTGGCACATAGTAGGTGCTCAATAAATAAATTTTACGAGTATGGATGGGCATAAATAAATTTTACGAGTATAGATGGGCATGTTAGACTAGATGAGATTTAAGGCCCTGTCCCTGAGAAGTAGCTGGAGTGAGGGCTTGGTAGACCGCAGACCTGGTCATGCAGACCTAGGTAAAATGCCTCAGTGGCTTTCTTTCGCATTAGGATCAAACCCCAAGTTCCTTAATGTGGCTTCTGAGACCTGGGCCTCCTCACAACTCCTCTCTGATCACTCAGAGAGTTCGAACACAGTGCCTGGACATGGTAAACACATTGTTAATAAATAAACAAACAGACTTCTTTAACTTCTTCAACTCCCAAGCTGCCTCTGACACTAAGCATTGGGCCTCAGCCTGCAAATCACCTCTCTTTCTACTAGCAAATCCTTGTCCATCCTTCAAGCTACAGCTCAGATGCTTCCTCCCTATGAAGTCCTTCTCTGTGCTTCTCAATCTACCGTGCATCCCTGGGGTGCCATTGCCCCCCTTTTTACCTGTCTCCCTAACTGCTCAAGGCAGGGATGGATGTATTAACATCATTGTCTTGTCAGACTGTCCTTTGGACAGTGCCTGGCACACAGTAGGCTGGGCAGAATGCCAACAAAGAGGCAGAAGGTAACTGTCTCCTGCAGGTGGGAGGGGAAACTTGGAGGTGAGCATGGGAAGCCTCCTGCCTGCCCCTCTCTGCTGCCCCTGGGAGGCGGGTGGGAGGACTGAGGCTTTGGTCTTGTTCATTCAGGTCACTCAAGATGCAAGAAGACCACATGAAGAGCTTGCTGGTGGAGCTGCCCCCTGAGAGGCCACCAAAGAAAGCTGGCTGCTGCTTCTGACTCTGAGGCTGGCCCAGGGAGAATGGCCACCTACTGGGTTTCTTGTCCCTCAGTTTTAGTCCTGCCTTATGGCCACAGCTCCTGCACAGAGGACCAGCTGGGAAAATCTCATCAACACAGGAGCTTAGGGATGGGGTCCTGGATGATGAATATGATGTTCTGAAAGACATTGCTGGGCAAATAAGCCCAAGGGTATAGGGGAGGGAGGGAGCTCAGATAGCATAGAGAGAAAGGAGTTGCCCTGTCATTCCAAAGGCAGCCGGTTTGAATCCACCACCTGCTTCTTGGGAGGAAGATGGACAATCTCCTCCTGTGTGATTTACAGTTTCTGGAAACCAGCTGGCAGGTCAGCTATGAGGTCCAGCAATGAGTGGCTTGGTTTTGTTCTAAGAAAGGAAAATTCTACACAACAGACTTAGGAAAATACACTGAAATATTGACCATACATCTCCAGGTAATAAAATCTCTGGATGAATGTGCAGGGGTGTTATTTTTCCTTTTATATGTATTTATATTTTCAGAATTTTTTTTACAATGTCTGAGTATTTTCCTTCTATAATCAAAAAAGAAAATGTTGAGAGAGTTGTGCTGCTGTTGTGTGCCACTGACTCAGAATAAACTCATAGCTCATCCTCCAGCAGGCTTTCAGAGGCAGTAAATTGACAGGAGGAGACTGCCCATCCCTCCCATGTTGAGAGGGAGGAAGTAGTTTTCAGTGAGCTTGCTTTGGCACTGATAACAATTAATGTAGAAAAAAAAATCAATGTAGCCTTTTGGTAAAGATTGAATTGTGTGTCCCCTCCCCCACCCCCCACCTCAGTCTCTGGTGATTTGGTGGATAAGGAGTTGCTCTGCCAATCTCCTAAGGTAGGCTGTTCGAATTCAAATCACCAGCTGCTCCAAGGGAGACAGATGGACAATGTTCTCCCATACGATCTACAGTCTCTGAAAACCCACTGGAGGGTCAGCTATGAGTCCATTCTCGTTCTGATTCCAAGGCACTGAGCATATGCCTGTTTTGTTAAATGAGGCAGGATTAGTGTAGGGTGTGTTTTACATTAATTTCTTATAAGAGAGATAAAAAGGGGAGCATATTAAGTAAGGGAGAAGATAGATGTCAAACCACATGAAGACTGCCCATGAACAGAAGCTCAGAAGAGACCAGGACCGACTATAGCCAGACCACTTTGAACGCCTGATCTCATCCAATCACAGAAGCTAACCAGGGTTAAGTCTGGTTAGTACTTAGATAGGTGAAGAAACAAGGACTTTCTTCTAGATCTGACCCAGAGACAGCTTATCCTAGAGCTGGTACCCTTCAAACTTCTAGTATCCTAAAGAGTGAGAGAATAAATGTCTGTTTGTTAAAGTCACCCCCTTGTGATATCTTGGTTACAGCAGCATTGGATAACTAAGACACCTGGTGAATTACAAATCACTTCATTTATTAAAAACAGTCCCTCTGTTCAGTGCCTGGCTATTGTTAGTTACTGTGACTCAGCCAGACCCTGACTCATAGCAACCTTATACAAAAAGGAATCAGAGGATCAGAGCTCTGTTCTGGGTTTTCATTAGCTGATTTTTGGAAGAGGATTGCCAGCGAAGCTGACTTCTGTTCATCATCTTAGCAATATGCAAACTGCTACTGACAGCTGAGTGGTGGCTCATGAGGTGGTTGGCCAGGAATTGAACCTGGGTCTCCCATGTGGAAGGAGAGACTCTTAGCACCGAACCATCTCTGCCTCTCTGTGTCTGCCAGTGAGTGGTGTTAAGCTTGTTTCGTGAACAGTAACTGTGTGCAAGTGCAGGGTTTCTTCTGGGTGGAGTCCAGTCCTAGGGGACAAGCCATACTCTGCTGTGCCCTGTGTCCTCTTGTCTCACTAAACACCCCTCCCATGAATTTTCTCCACGGTCTACCTCAGAGAGGTCACATTCAGGGACACCTCATCTAGCCCAGAAGCCACAGTGTCCCTCAGTGCAGCCCTTTGCCATCCCAGTGTAGGAGGAGCCTCAGCTGGGATGTGACTGGTGGGGCCTGGGAGCAGCTGGTGAAATTAGAGTTAGAATCACCCTCGGTTCCAGTTTTGGTTTTCCAGCATGTGGAAGGAGTTCCTGGAATATGACCTAACATATAGCCTCCTGCAGTGAGGCTGCACATTATGATCCAGGGCTGGGACTTCACAGGAAGTCTGCCTGGGGGGGTCTTAAGAAGACCACCCCTCAGTGTTGAATGACTTCCTGTCACTTGTGTTTGCTGTAGATGTTGCTCTTTAGATCCTGCCATTAGCCACCTATGCTAATGCTATGCTAATGCCACTCCCTGCATGGAGTGTCCGCTGTGTGCAGACAGATGCTGAATTTGGTACTTTGTAATCATTCCACTATAGCCCTTACATGGGAAATTCTCCTACTGCATCAGCAGTGTGTTACAAACAGAAAAACAGAGACACTAAGACAAAAAGCCCAATAGGAGAAGAGGAGAGAGGAGGCGGCCATAATCTCCCAGGTTTGCTCCACACAGGGTGGCTATGATCCTTTGGCCAGAGAGCATGGTGCTGCTGTGTACGTGGGTGCTGTGTTGTGGCGGTCTCTGGAGAAAGGCGACTCTGCCTCCAGGAGCCAGGGAAGTCACGCTTGGCCTTGGGTTGAAGGCAGCAGCGGCTTCAAGCCCAAAAGGAGAAGAGGAGCGAGGAGGTGGCCATAATCTCCCAGGATGTGTCAAATGCGTTAATGGTTGGCTACCCAATGCAGATAGAGAGTGGGGTGGAGCTCCCCGATTAAAACAAGCATGGAAGGAGGAGTGGCATCCACTTCCATAATAACTTGCCTCCGGAAACCCTATGAACCTGGAGAGAGGATGAAAGGTACCCAAGCGTCAAGGACTCTCCTTCATAGGGTCGCTACGAGTCGCCTGTGACTTGACGGTACTTAACAACAACAACAATCATTCTACTGGGCCAATTGGCAGCATCATGATGGTGGTGAAGAGATTGAGATTGATGACAGTTTTAGTTTGCTTGGTGCCACAATCAACACTCTTGGTACCAGCGGCCAGGAGGTCAAGAGATGAACTGCATTAGGAAAGTCAGCGTCAAGGACCTCTCCAGAGTACTGAGGAGCAACAACTTCAGGCCGGAGACTAAGGTGCACCTGATCCGGGCCATAGTCTTCACATTTGTGTGCTGTGCATCGCAGAGCTGGACAGTGACTAGGGATGATAGGAGAATTGATGCCTTTGAGCTGTGGTGTTGGACTGCTAGGAGAACAAACAGGTGAAACCAGGCTGCTCCTTGGAGGCAAGAATTCTGAAGCTTTGTCTGACATACTTTAGGCATGCCCTTGGAGAGGGACGTCATGTTTGGGAGGGTGGAGGGACAGAGCTGGAGAGGAAGACCCTTGATGAGATGGATCGATTCAGTGATTGGGGTAATGGGAGTAGGAGTGTGGGAGACAGTGAGTTTGGCACAGGACAGAGCAGGGTTTAGGGCTCTTGTACATAGAGTCGCTATGAGTCGCAACCTGACAGCACATAACAACAACAATCATTCATGTACCAGTGAATCACTGGCTAAATCAGAGGAAAGCTTGGTTTCCAAGCCAGAGAAGTCTGAGACACAATTAGGAGAGAGAATGATGGAGAGAAAGAGAAAGCAGGAAATCATAGACTGTCTCATCCCTACCTGTTTAATCACAGCCTCTTCCACTTCTGACCCCCATGCCTCATCTCAGTTCTGATAAAGATGCGGCAGTAGCAGTGAGCTGCCACTTATATCAGCAGAAGCCAGGCGACACTTGGCAAGAGATAGGATAGAGAGGATGCAGGGCGCCGAAGCTACAAAGAATTTTCTTACATGCTCTGAAGAGGTTCCGTTTAACTCCTCAACTATGGGTGAGATAGCCATGATCTAGCCCACACCCTTCCAAGCTTCTCACTGATTCTTTTTCACCTCCGTGTCTCCTCTGTCGCCCAGCCCTTTCCACAAGCTTCCCCAGCTGTAGTCAGTTTCTAGGTGGCCCATGGAGACAAAAGTGAGCTGGAGTGAGTGGTGCCCCGCTCTGGGTGAGGGTTAGAGCAGCTCCTGCTGCTGCCAATGGCTTTCTCCCCCCCCCCCCCCCCCCCGAGGTCCAGGAGGCCAGGCAGGCCTCAACAACTCTGCCTGTGGACCAGGAAGATAATGAGACAAGTAGCTAGGGTGTGATTCCTAGGGGAGCCAGTGGGGCGACAGTTTCCTTTGAGGGACCCAGAGAGGGAATGGTCCCTGGGCTGCCCCGCCCATCTCAGTTATACTTCAGCCTCCCAGCAGCCAACTCTGGTTCTCTAGAAGCAGGGTTGCATGCGGAAGGTACTGCACACTTCCCAGGACCCCCTCTCAGCCTCCTCTGGCTAGACCCCCCTTCTCTACAGAGCACAGCTTTGGAGAGGACACCAGCTTGTCTCCCAGCATCAAAGGTCTCACAGTTCAGCGAACAGGACCCACAGGCCTCAAAGAAGGACAAGACTGGTGAGATAAGCAGAAGGCAGGGTTCAACGCAGACTGCAAAGTGAACTTCCAGACCAGTGGTAAGTTCTCAGGGTACGTGTGAGTAGCTGTGGCCACAACTTAGCTTGAAGATAATGAAGAACAGAAGAGTGGGATGGAGTTTGATGGGGCTCAAGTATGGAGTGAGGAAAAATGGGTGGGGGATTGAAGCCAGGTTGGTTAGAGGTGTTAGGGAAGGAAGATTTCTGGATCCGAGAGTGTTCGTGGGCAAACCAACAGCCTTCACTGAGTGCCTTTACAAAATCATCATGCATGGCTCAGAGCACTTAATTCATTTGCCTACTTTAATCTTCACATCACCATTATAAAGTTGGGCCTGTTTTCCCATTTTCCTGATGTTATTGTTATTGTTGATTGCTTTCGAGTTAAGCACAACTCATAGAGACCCTATGAACAAAAGGCCTGAAGCCCCTCTACAACTATCAACATTTATCAAAGTTCATAGAGTTTCCGGAGGCA